CCGCGACAACCCATCTCGACTATCCTATCCCTATTGTTTTTGGCCGGAATAAAAACATTCATCTGTAGTTATGTTATGCCCAATACGCACCTCCGTATTCCAATCCTACTATCAGAATTAAGCCATCGAATCAAATTAACAGAACTTATACAACTCTACTCTACTAATTCTTCCAATGAGAAACATCCAATCCAATCTCATTCATTCCTCCAAACCCCCATTCTGCTTATAATTCCAGTTGGATACCTAGACCACTACTTCAACCCACATATCTAACGACCTACACATCTTGCAAATAGGAAAACCATCAGATACCAAGAAACTCCATCACTAGACAACAAAGACATTGGACTCTTATGTATTCTTTTGTTATCTATAACCCTACCCTGTTAACCCCTTGGCTCGAAGAAGCAATCAGATGGGCTCTCCTCGCCCCAATACAACTCTATTTGACTTTGAGTTTGATCCTACTAAGAAATTCAGTTAAATAATATAATAGAATACAATACTGACTGAATTACAAGATAAAAGACAAGAAGCTGCAGGTCTGAGATAAGGGGATGGCCTTCTCTCGGGAGACATGGCCACAATCCTTCCTATCCGCCGTAGGTACTACTAGTAGGTAGCTATCTACAAGTGGGTAGCTCCCGCTATGGAATAGTATTCCATTAGAGAGCTACTACGAGAGGAAGATAAGATAGGTCTGAGCCTTACTCCTTTGCCTCAGTCGCGGCTCAAGGGCATAGAGGCTTTTCAAATTGAAAATGAGCTAGAAGGTTTCTTTTCTTAGCTATGTAGGGTACTACAAAGGACTCTTGAGATAGGCGCACGCAGCTAGAGGCCCTAGATTCAGTCTCTTCTTGCTTTCAGTAATTGAACTTGACAGAGGGCATAGGCACTACTGGAAGCCTACCTTACTTTATAGTATAGGATGGGTAGGAAATACAAACTATTGGAACTCCTGCTCTGTAGGGCCTAAGGACGACTCTTCCCTTTCTTAAGGGAAAGTCAAGGAGTAAGGAATGGAAAGGGCTTCGCCTTACTCATTCGGCTGCCTCACTCGCTCAAGAAAGAAAAGATTGCCTGCTACAAACCTTATAAAGCTTCAAACATTTGGGAGCTTATTCTATTAGCAAGTTCCTGCCTGCTCGTGTGACTATTCCTACGGATATGCAAACACGGCTTATGCTTTAAATGCTGGTCATAAGTGTCAGCTGCTTGCTGGTTTCAAACCTGATAATATATATTGGTTCAAGGCAATGCCGCTTCTGATCAATGAGGAAGAACGACAACTGGTAATGAGCACACCTTCATCCAATGTGGTCTGCTCTCATTTATTTCAATCCCGCAGCTGGTATAGGAAGAGGTTTGAAGCTTTAGGGGCCTTCCAAAAATAAGGGCTAAAGTTCCTCTCCTTTATAGTCGAGCGACTCCGTTCCACAGCAAGAAAGTCGTAACGGCTTTCTTGCTAGCGCTAGCATGCTCACTTTTTATCGGCCAAAAAAATAGTTAGCCGCAAAGGCTATCCTGCACCGCGCGCTCTCACTTTGCTACTTACCGAGCAAGAAGCCGCTTAGGCTTTCGCACTAGCGTGCTCTACCTTTACTGCTTATGCTGCTTACCTTTATAGTCGAGCGACTTCATTCCTCAGCCAGAAAGCCACTTAGGCTTTCGCGCTAGTGCTCTCACTTTTTATCGGTCGAAAAAATAGTTAGCCGCAAAGGCTTTCGCGTGCCGCGCACTCTCATTGCTGCTTACCGAGCAAGAAGGCCGCTTAGGCTTTCGCACTAGCACGCTCTACCTTTGCTGCTTATGCAGCTTACCTTTATAGTCTTGCGACTTCGTTCCTGTCAATTTTGCAAGCGCCAGTCTTTCAAACTTTCAAATTCGCAGGGAAATATTACAACTACTGAAGGCCATTCAAGCGAGTCTCCTCAACATGCTGGGCTGGTTCCATTCATATGTGTATCTCCACCCGTTCCAGTACCGAGTGATTTATTGCCGCATCTTTTTGTTGCCTTGAGCATGAGCCAGGGTATGACTGATTTTGCTGCTTCTTCTGCTAAGACTTTTCATCAAGCATCAGGTACTCATCTTTCCTCGATACAGGTTTCTAGAGGGCAGTTCATCTTCTTCCCCTGATTCTGGATTCTGGAGCATCTACCCATATGACGGGTAACTCTTCTATGTTTACTTCTTAGATTATACCACCTCGTTTCCTTCGTGCTGACTTCTTGCTTTACCTATTCAAAAAGCAAGTCTATCTCCTTCTTTGTCTTTGTCCAAAGTTCTTTATATTCCAAAATTGGACCCTTTCCATCGATTAGTCTTAGTCTTTTTATGAAAAGCTTGAACGGTTATGTGACTCTCTTTCCTTCTCATTGTGTCATTCAGGATCGGGAAGATGATTGGATGAGGTAAAGAGAGAGAGGGACTCTGCTTTATGATATGGGCGTGGCTTCTTCATAAGCATTATCTTCATTGGTAGCTAATGTGGTTAGCAGTTCAAGGTTCAGAGAATAAAGCTTGGCATAAAAGGTTGGCAATCTTCATGATCCTGTCTCAGATGACTCGCCATGGAAGTATACCTTGAGCAACCTCAATTCCGTTTTTTTTTTACATAATAAGAGGACTTGCTCTACATGCCAATTGGCAAAGCATTGGTAATCTTCCTAAAAAAAAGGCAAAATTCTTGAGATTATGAAAATCTTGCTTACTCCGATGTCTGGGGACTTGCATCCACTACTTCTTATTCTAGCCATCGCTATTTTGTCACCTTTGTAGATGTCTAGAGCTACATGGATTTATACGTGAAATGTTCAAAAAGAATGAAGTCATGTGTTGAAGGCGGTCACACACAATTTTATAAGAATGTTTTGATGGTAGCAACTGCCACACTTTCTTATCTGATAATGGCATCAACCATCACCTGTGCTTATTTAGTTGAGGAATGGTTGGTGGCTGAAAGGAAGAACAGGCATATCTTAGAGGTTGCTAGTGCTCTTTTGTTTCGATAGAGATGAATGTTCCCAAGTCCTATTGGTCTGATGCTGTTATGAATTACAGTCCTATTGATAACATATGCAGTCACTCCTATTTTAGACCCTTAGGTACGTTTTTTACGATGTCCAACCTGCAGTTGGATGCATTTTTTTTGTTCCCTCTCGCGGGAGAAGCTTGTTCATTAGGCACACAAGTGCGTCTTCTTTTGAATCCTTATTCTCAAAAAAGAAAAAAAGGAGACCTGTGACTAAGAAGATGCATATTTCAAGGCATGTCACATTCGAAGAAAGCTATCCATCTTTTTGTGCCTTCTTCTTCTTGTTCCTATCCCAGGAGATAGCCGTGAATTGAGACCGAGAGTCTCATCAGAAAGAACAGCAGGTGCAACACGAGACCTCATCAGGGCAGCCTTTATCTGAGTAGCAGCGGGCACGTGATGTGTTTCGGACATACTCTCGTCGCGATCATTCAGACCTGTAGAGTCCTCTCTCCCTCTCTCCTCAACTGATAAGACTTCCACCATCCTCCTCCTTGAGAAAACGTGAGTGAGGGAAAGACATAAAGAACATATAAGTCTTGGCCGCAAAGGCCACTACTCATTCTTATCGATATAATAGAACGTATCTACGATAGCGGCGGGGTCGAAAGAGTCGGTCTTGTATGTTCTTGTTTGCATCGGGACCACTTAAGAGAAGTCTCTTAGAAGTCAAGGCAAATGTTGTTGGGGTAGTGACGGAGGTGGCAGAAGCCTGCCCCGTCTGGGGGAAACCGGGGACAACCCCCCGCTCTTCTATAAGGTCGGACTACCTTGCCAAATTGTAGGGACCTCCACGAACTCCACTCTATGATGCCCCGGAAGAACAGGGAGCCCGGCCCCCTTCTTTCTTCTTGATAGCTCCTTTTTTGTTTGTTCTTGCCCGGCGCAGCGCTATGCCCGGCTCTTGCATTTTATAAATAACAAAACAGCAGTAGGCTTGTTTAGAGCTCAACTCTATTGGTTCAATTCCCCGCCCCACTATCAACCATGCAAGAAAGCGTGGAAGAAGAGACGCAGAGCAGATGAGTCAAGCCCTGGAAAGTGGAAGAGCGGCGCGGGGCTTCTATACTGTGACTAAACTCTAAGCTAGAAGCTTAACACATGCAAGTCGTATGAAAGCGCTACTTCTAAAGTCAAGTCAAGGCGACCACCACTGGAGTCGGCCCGCCCGGTACATAGGATGATTAATGTGATGTAAAAGAGGGCGGGTGAGCTTTCTAACAAAAAGAAAATAACATAACAAAGTACGAAGGACCAACGACGATCTTTGAGGATAAGGAGTAGTTGTAGGAGCTAATTCGGATGGAATCGAAGGATTACGAGGTAGACAATGAGACAAATTTGCCTACCAACGAGCAAAGCCCCAGCGAGAGGACTGCTACAGCACGGAGCGAGAGAAGTGCTACAGCACAGAACGAGAGAAGTGCGTAAGCATGAAACGAGAGAAGTGTGTAAGCACGGAGCGAGCCTAAATGCGAGCCAAAGAGCGAGCCAAAGAGTAAATGCAGGTTCAGTCGTTAGCGCACCCTCGTTGTTGAGGGCTTTTTGCTGCTGCCCAAAAGCTGTTTTGAGAGTGCTTTTGGGGAGAGCACTTAGACAATTCACTTTGAGTACAGGGAAGTCAGCTGGAAGGAATTCCTCTAGGCGTATTATGGTCTTTCACCGAGGGGGTGGATTGAAGTGATTGTAGCGAAGAATTGATCTGAAACGAAGCACTTCGTCTATGGGCATTGTAGAAAGGATCGAATATGACCCAAATCGTTCTACTCGAATCGCTCTAGTACGATGGATCGAGGGGGTGCTGCTATGCCTCCAGAGGAGATGCAATGCGATAGAAGAGTTCGCTCTGCCGCGTCAAATCCTCGAACCTACCACGGCCACCATCAGTGGCCTATTTTCGTTCTCTTCCTTGCTAGGGAAAGTGGATCAAATAAAGGTAGCTTGCTTCTCTCCTGGACTAATGGCAGCTTATTACGTGGTCGGCCTTCCTACCAGAGTGCCTCCTACTCCTAGAAGTGAGTTGCTAGAAGCGAGCATAGAACCAACGAGCAGTCGCTTCCCAACCAAGGAAGGAGGCAATCGAAAGGCCGACCACTATATAGGCATTCTGGGGAATGCCAACTACAAGACTACGACTACAAAGATAGGTAGCAAAGCCAAGCCTATAGGCGTAGAAACGAGTCGCCAGAAGAGTGTTGCCAGAAAAAAAAGAGCTTATATAGGGGTCGGCCTTCCTACCGGAGTGCCTCCTTTGTCGAAGAGCCAAGCCTGCGTAAGAAGCTTCAAAAGTTGTGCGAAGGACGTTCTTCTCTACCCTCTCCTCTCCAAAGGCCAAGGGAGAGACTGCAACTTACCTTTCCTATGGTAGCTCTTTTTGTTTCCCAAGGATAGCGGTAGCTGGGTAAAGCCCGCTTTCTTCACTCCACGAATGAGAGAGAAAGTCAGAGGAAAAAAGACGTTCTCTCTTTGTGAGGTCCGAAAGTGGAGAACGCATAGCATTCTCTGGGCGCATAGGATTAAACGTAAAGCTGCACTTTCTTGGCAGAGTTCTCGACGGCAAGAAACTTTAGGGCTTGTTGGAGCTGCTGAGCATAATGAATCGAAGCCGAAGGCGGATCAAGATAGCTTACTACCAAGCCAAGTGCTTGCTTGCACTGTATTACATGGTCGGCCTTCGTATCAGAGTGCCTCTAGAAGCTTCATAGAAAGTTTGCTTCCGGGAGAAGCTAGTCGCTTCGATAGCTTGCCTGCTAAGCCGATAGGCGAAGGGCCGAAGGATGGAGCGTGCAAAGTTTTTCATGCACCTGTCGTGTGACCCGTTGGTCCTAAGCAATGTCTTTCGCGAAGCGACCAACTGTGTAAAAAAGAGAACTTCGATCAGATGCGGGTATCCAATCCCGCCGCTGAGATGCCCAACTGATTCCTAGGCCTTGATGAATGGCCGGTCACCTTTGACGTTAGAAGAGCAAAAGGCCCTGGGCATAACAGGATGAACCCATGTGAATGAGTGTAAGCTTCGTTGCCCAAACACGATTGGTGCTGACCACACTAGGTGCTACCGTGGTAGCAAGAGAGGCCAGGCGGTGACAATTGAGAGGTTGTCACTGAGCATTCCAAGTCACATGGGAAGAGAGGTAAAATGGCAATGCCATACGCCCGTGTGGCTTCTCGCGGAGTATAGCTCACATCCAAACATCTGATTGGGGAATGGGGCAACGCCCATGGAGCTCCGACGGAAAGGGAAGGTCTGCCAGGCCGTATGCCCATGAGTGCAGGATTCTTCGAAAAAGTGCGGGCTGACTCGGAGACCAGGGACCTTAGCATAGCAACGAATGAAGGGCAGCTCAAAGAGCTTTCTCCGCCAGCAGCTTATTACGTGGTCGGCCTTATAAAGGTCGCTAAGCTTCGCCTCCCCCCCCTTACTGGACTTCACTTAGTAGTCGGCATTCTATAAGCAACTTGTTGAGTCTACGAAGGTTTGCTTCTTGTAGTCGTAGTCTTGTAGTCGACTCAGTAAGAAAATGTCGCGTAACGGCTTTCACACTAGCTCGCAACAAGAAAACGCCAAACGAGAGAAGTGCTACAGCACGGAACGAGAGAAGTGCGTAAGCACGGAGCGAGCCTTTGAGCAAAGAAGTGCGTAAGCACGGAATGAGAGAAGTGGGTATGTATGGAGCGAGCCTAAATGCAAGCTACAAAGCGAGCTAAAGAGTAAATGTGAGTTCAGTATTATATTTACGTAACGAGGCATTAAAACAAGGGCTTTCGCGCTAGCGCGAAAGCCTAAGCGATTTTCTTTTGGGTAAAAAAGCACTCGTGTAGTATAATAGTGTACTGGACTCGCTCTTTGGCTCGCTCCGTGCTTACACACTTCTCTCGCTCGGTAGCGCATACGTTTTCTTGCTGGGATGAGGAAGCTACGCAGTGGAGACTAGGCTAAGGAACGGAGTCTTCAACTATGGACCGAGACTACACTAAGGAACAAGGAAGCTTGACTGAGCATAAGCGAAGTAAAGGAACGAAGTCGCTCCACTATAAAGGTAAGCAGCATAAGCAGCAAAGGTAGAGCGTGCTAGCACAAAAGCCTAAGCAGCATTCTTGCTCTGTAAGTAGCAAAGAGAGAGCGCGCGGCACGTGGAAGCCTTTGCGCCTAACTATTTTTCTGGCCGATAAAAAGTGAGCGCGCTAGCGCGAAAGCCCCACCCAATAGGAGGGCGAAGGATTTTCGAAAAAGTATTTATTGTCTTGGTAAGCCGTTACTATATACTATTAAGAAAAAGTGATAAGATGATAGGAGGCTGAAAGTTCTTAGGAAGAGCCCTATGAGGCAGCTCACGTATGGTTTGGGAGCAGAGCCCTAGCACAGGGGGGCTTAGGTCAACACTTATATATTAGCCAGTCCTCAATTGGAAGCGGGCAAGATGGTGATGAATTGCAATTGGTCCAAACCTTCGACCAGTGGCTTCTTGCGACCTGCCCAGAATGCCCATACATACCTTCGGTTCAAAGACCTTATTCGCACAGCAAATAAGGGTCGGGAAGGGAGCAGTCAACAGGCTGCTTCTTGGCCACGCCCCCTGCTTATAGATACTATATACTTTCTCCGTATTGTCAAGTAGGAAATTGCATACCATTAGCCGATACACGTTTAGGAACATGGGTACATGATATTAAATGTAATCCAGGTCAAGGCGCAAAGCTGGCTCGAGCTGCAGGAACTTTTGCTAAAATAATGAAGAAACCAGCACCACAATGTCTTGTGCGGCTACCTTCGGGTGTTTCAAAAGTCATTGATTCCCAATGCCGAGCTACTATTGGTGTAGTTTCCAATCCCAACCATGGTGTACGTAAGCTTAGAAAAGCGGGACAAAGCCGGTGGTTAGGCAAACGCCCCATTGTTCGGGGTGTTGCAATGAATCCAGTGGATCATCCTCATGGAGGAGGTGAGGGGCGCACGAACGGAGGTAGACCTTCGGTGTCACCTTGGGGACCCACCAAAGCAGGATTTCAGACTGTAGTGGGGAAACATAGAAATTCGTTCATGCCACGACGATATATATGGAAGGGCAGTTTTGTTGATGCTTTCTTGTTGAGAATGAAGAACAAAAGAGAGATATTTTTAGCAGGAGAATTTGGTCACGTATATCAAATATTGAGCCGGAATTCGTTGATTTCTCCATTCGAATTTACAATGGAAAAAGTCCTGTTCGTTGTAAGAGCACTGAAGGAAAGGTTGGTCATAAATTTGGAGAGTTTGCTTCTACACGGAAACGAAGACCTTCGAGAAAAATTCTTGGACTGGGAAGAAGTGGGAAAAAGTCAAGTCTAAGCGCCATATGGCACGAAAAGGAAATCCAATTTCGGAAAGACTTGATCTGAATTGTAGTTCAGATCCAAGTCGGTTCAGTGAGGGCGACTGCGAAAGTCACCGATGGGTCTCCCTACAGAGTCCCTTAATATGAGGCATGGGATGGGAGGACGTTGCAGATGTCCGGGACGGACACGACTTCTTCTAACTCTAGAAGACCAACCACAGGAAGACACCTGAGACCAGAGCATGTCGTGAAAGCAGCAGACAGAGCGGGCGTGCTTCGACCGTGTCTCCGGGGCACAGTTGAATGTAGATATCATGAGCGCGAGGTGTAGCAGGCTGAGAAAGCCGGGCAACAACACCCCAATGCGTCGATCGCTAGCGCATCCAGGGCCCTGGCGCCCAGCTCCGCTGGAGAGGCCTAGCCTGAGCTGAGAAGTTCTAATTCGGTTCGGAGAGACTGAATTCGAGAACGCCGCCGCCCCTGGAATCCAATAAGACCAGCGCTAAGTTTCAAATCAGTGAATAAACCGGAAGAGAAGTTTCTCGCACGACGCCTAAAGCGCACTATGCTCCGCTTCAACAAATGAGAGTTTTCGATGGAACCGGTGGACCACACGAGCTAGTTAGATGCGTGGGACAGAGAGCTCGTAGTACCTGCTAGTGTTGTTATGCTGTGGAAGGGAAGGAGCCTAAATCGACCTGCTTCTTTCTTTTTCTTCAAAGACACTAGAGCAGTACAAAGAGATTGGACTCTCGGATGAGACTAAGTAGCTACCGTTCCGACAAGTCCCCCGACCGACCTATCTAGATTAAGACTGAAAACTCTCTCAAAACTCAAACTAAAGTAGAGACCAGTTGAAGCTGTCATTTCTATTCGATTCATTTAGAAAGACAAACTTTTCTCTCATAAGCTAACCCTTCTTTTTTTCTTCATTCCACGAATGAATGGGTTATGGAAGTTTCTATGACTATGTCAAACGAACGTTCAATTAGGGCGGCCGCAGAACGATCCAAGCAAGCTCTTGAACTTAGCGGGAGGAAAAGGACGACTTTGATAAGATAACCGGTGAGAGTAGGCAAGGGAAGCTCGCTGAAGCTCACTTTCCAAGCGCTAGCGAAGCTAGCTGTAGAAGCAAAGCCAGAAGGGAGGAAGCGAAGTGCAGCACTGAACGAAAGAAGTGCGTAAGCACGGAGCGAGCCAAAAAGTGAGCCAAAGATCGAAGCCATTTCAATTTAGTAGACGAAGCTTTGGCTTTGCATCCCCCCAAAGGCTCGCTCAGTGCTGTAGTACTTACCTCGCTGGCTCCGCGTTCACTACAACAGTAGGCGCTATGTAGTTAAGTTAGGCGAACAGTAGCCCGCATGTTTACCGAGAGCCTAAGGAGAGGGCGAAAGCCATTAGATCGTCGATAGCCTTTCAACTAAAGAGGCCTTTGGTACATGAATGGGCCCACTGTCCGCTTCTATAGTGGCTTTGTCAGAAGTTTGAAAAAAACCAGACTGAGTTGTTCACTAAAAGCCTTGCCTTTCTTTGCCAAGGCCACTTTGACTTTTTATAGTTCACTGGGTGTCATAAAGAAACAAAAGTCCCTGAACTGAGTTGTTCACTGAAAGTTTGAGTTGTAGGGGGGGTAGTTTGATGAATCAAGAGTGTAGTTGGAGTTTATGAACTACCAGTCCACTGATTGATAGCTTCTATAGTGGCCCTTAAAGTTTTAGTTGACCTTATTTGAGTTCGTAGGAACTGAACAGGGATGTAGTTGTTTTTAGTTAGTACTGTTTGGTACTTCATTAATACTTGAGTTCAAACGGCGAAGACCAATACTATAAGGTTGACTTTGGAAACTAGTAGCCGTTTATCCGCCCGTTGAGTCTGATGTTTCGCTATTAGAAGTTGTCCAACAGTAGGGCGAGCGACATTCTGTTGGACAACTCCTAATAGCAAAGGCGACCAGGCGACCAGCATGCTCGCCTTTTTCAGATTACGAAAAGCTACTAAAACTAAAGTACTACTATTTAAGTAGCGAACGGCATTCTATTGTACAACAACTTTTGAACTAATTACTATGAATCGTCGTACTGAAGTACGTCGTAACCTTCGGTTCCTTATCCCGAAACCTTACTTGCGGTTCCCACTTTCTATGGCTGTTTATAGGTTGCGAAAATCACGGATAAAGTAGGGAACCGTCGGTTTGACCCACCTATTAGTTAACAAAGTCAACCTTTGGTTACCTTTCGATTCAATTAAGAAGTAGTCATAGGGCCTAGATGTTTGCCTAGGGGAAGGCCTTTTGAATCTTCAGTAGGGCGGGTGGCCAGCCTTTTGCTATGCTATAAGTAGGCTTATGTAGTGGTCAGCTTTCCTACTTGCTCCATGCCTCTAACGTCGCCCTAAGAAGCTTCACTTTCGGCTCTCAGCCGATAGGCGAAGGGTGACGCTGACTCTCCACCGGCCGACGGGCATAGAGGGCGGGCGGGGCCTTGGCGAGACGGTTCTTCATTCGAAGCATTTTGCCAAGAGAGCGAGGGTGTGGGGTGGCCTTTCAATTGACAACCACCTCTTCCTACAAAAAAACGAGATAGTACTTGCCACAGGTAGGCTTAAACTACGCCTGGTGGCGGGGGGCTCACAGTTCTCATCAACCTCAGGTGTGTAATCGAGAACATGTTTCTAGCTTGTTCTTGGGAAGAAAGTCTTCCCTTTGCATTCCTTTTCTTATTCATTCAGGGCGCTCGGCCGGTGCTCCCCGGAACTCATCTAAACGTTAGGGAAGATAAGGGAAGACCACCTGAGTGAACCGACCGAAGGAACTTGACATATCCAAACCAAAAGTTAGCGGCTTAAGCTAAGCCTATCACGAGCAGCGTCGCTGCTTGATCGGCGAGTAGGAGCATCTCAAAGTATGGGGCAAGGGATCAAGCGCTTTGATTTGACTTTGTCCCCCGGGATCCACCACAGGTTGGGTTGGAGAGCTGTGTGATGGGTTACTATCTAGCACGGTTCGGAGAGCACTTTTAGTCTGCGCTGGTGATTGGAAGCCCCCCTCTAAAGAAAGAAGTGGTTCTTCCCACGGCGGAGTAACCGTAACCATTGAATCTATTTATTATTATGGTAAATCAGTACATCAAGATGTCAATCTGAGATCTTATTTCGCTTCGATACGTCCACCTACGAGACAAACCTTTGG